ATTTCTTTCACTCTATTGGCGACAAATTATTTTAACGTCTTCTTCGAACTCAACCAGCTCAACACAATTTACCTATCTCTCCATAATATGACACGATTGTCATTAATATGAGTAAAAATGTGAGATAAAAGTCGACTTCCAATTACTGCAGCCATTAATTCTAGTCTTGGTATTGTTAGCTGTTTTAACGGTGCTACTCGATTTCTTGACATTAAGAGTGACTTTTCCTTCCGAAAAGAGGTATGCATGAGCTCCGTAAGCTTTCATGCTAGCATCCATAAATACATGGATCACATTGTCTCTGTTAGAATTCGAACAATTTGTAAAGTATTGACGATGTATAACGGTCTTTGTTGCTTCATTAATATCTCGTCTGATGTCAATCCATTCTGTTCTCATAATATGATCAGGCAATGGCTCGTCCCATTTCATATTTTCGCCCCAAAGTGTTTGCATAAACATTTTACCACTTATGGTAACTGGACTGATGATCCCGATTGGATCAGAAATGTTAGACGATTCTCTAATTACTTCGCGTTTCGTGATGAGGTCTATTTCCGTGTCTAGAATATTTTCAGCATACTTAAGTGTATCGTGATCTGTATTCCAACGCAAGACTAATATTTTGACTACCTGTGCTGTGTTGAGAACTTTTTCAGATTATGCAAGTTGTTGTAACAGCTTGTTATTTGATGCCCATACGCGTAAATTGAATCCACCATCTGTAAATAATTTGCGAATAACTTTGAAATATCTTTGGAATTAGAACTAGAAACAATATTGTCTACGTACAAATCTCTCATTAAATTGTCAGTAAATTCTGTCTGGTGGTTGTTGATGTGTTTCGATAAAACAGCATTTAAGATAAAAGGTTAGCAGGTGACTCCGAATAGTACATACTTAAACCTGTAAGTCGTAATACAACTGCTTGGGTCTGTTGGATTGCTTAACCAGAAAAATCTGGTGACGTCCCGGTCTTCAATATCTAGTCCAACATTGAGAAAGGCCTTTTCAATATCTGTACATACGGCGTATCTATTCATGCGGAATCTTAAAAGTATTGCGGTTACATCATTCAACTTCTGAGGTTCGTTAAGTAAGCAATCATTTAAACTGGCAGTGTCTGGTGTCTGTCTACAACAACAGTCATACACGATCCTGATAGTAGGCTTGATGAGGGATATAATGTAAATTGGTATTTGGTTTAACTAAATCTTTCTCCACTTTCTCTACAAACCCTCGCTTTTCCTGTTCTTCGATGATTTCTCCATACTTTTGTAATAATTGGGGTTCTTTACTATGACGTCTAATTACATTTTTCAGTCCTACGAAAGGCGACCTCATTTGTTTGTCGGTAATGGCGGATGGTCGGTTTTCCATGATAGCTTTGCGATAGACTTGTTGTCAAGAAATGACACTGATGAGTTTTCACATTTGTAACTGCAGCTTTGTGTCCCGCTTGTACGGCATTCAACTTCGCTTCTATTATTTCATCTGGTCAAGGCACCAATATTGTGTATAGCGGCTAAGATATCGTATATTGGCATGAACTAAAGAACAGACGTCTTGATAGTTTGATGAATGTCTTGAGAAAAGTACGTCAATGATAGTGACGTTACAATTGAGCGGCGCGCTATACTGTACGTCTAGTAAGCGGACTTCACAACAACTAGTATTCTGGTATCACATTTGATATTGGTGTACATTTAGCACTTTTTTCGTCGTGAATATTAATTAATAAAATAATCTTGCAAATATAATAAACAAAGTTTACAGCAAGTAGTATTTGTATATCACTATTAATAATTTTATCAAAACTTTATGTATGTATATATTTTGCCTACATTGAGTTATTAAGTGTGCACATTGAATGGTATAACATTCACATGACACCCTGGATCAAATGAAAAAATGTTCGTGATCTAAATATTAAATGACAATTCATTTTGATACACCTGTTAACGATCAGTACAATGCAAGTTACTGTTGGCAGAATGGTTTTTATTCAACGTAATTATGAAATAATCGTACGTTCCATTCGTTTTTATTCTGTAGTTAGTCACCACTTCGGTGTTGACATGTATATCAATTGTATTGTCATTTTTATATTTTATAAATTTGCTGTTTGCAAAAGTGTGAATTATTCTAATACTAAATATTTTCTTATCCCAGGCAGATAACCTAGCCGTATTTGGCACAACTTTTTGGAATTTTGGGTTATCAATGCTCTTAATCTTTAGACCTGGCACCTTTGATAACTATTAGCTTGTCGTAACGTTCTATTGTATTGTTTATTTGTGTGTTTTCTCTGTCCTGTATGTTCTTCCATTTATTTGTATTGTAGTCCTGTCATGTAACGTTGTCATTTTAGTGTTATATTTAACATTTCCATTAAAGCGAGAGGTTTGGCTAGCCACAAAAACCAGGTTCACCCACCATTTTTTTCTTAAAATGTCCTGTACCAAGTCTGGAAAATGGCTATTGTTATCTTATAGTTCGTTCTGTGTGTGTTGCATTTTAGTGTTTCTGTTGTGTCTTTGTTCTCCTCTTATATTTGATGTGTTTCCCTCAGTTTTAGTTTGTAACCCGGATTTGTTTTTTCTCAATCGATTTATGAATTTCGAACAGCGGTATACTACTATTGCTTTATTTATCTTTCATAGCCAAGTGCTATTTTCTTTCGTCATTTTTTAAGCAATGGTATAAAGTAAAAAATAAATTATGCATTTTTTCAACTAAATATCATTGTATAACAAGAAATGATTGTAACAGGATGCTGTTACGAAGTCTCCCAAACGAAGCTCCCATAATTCGTAATTCCCAGGGTCGCCTGACATTGGGCAAAGTCCAGTGAAAATTGGTTTGGTCCAGTAAAGTTATATGCATTAGTGATGCCTAGGGACTAACCCTGTATATCATTCAAATCATCTTGGCATGACAAACCAGAATATATATGGTTTAGGGGTGGGGATCCCGACCATTTACAAGATACTAGAACATTGGGGGTGGGGGAACCCCTTGGGCCTAACCCTATACGTCATTCAAATGTTCGAGACATGACGAACAGGAATATGTATGGTTCAGGGGTGGGGATCTCGACCATTTACAAGATATTAGAACTTTCTCAAATGGCAGGGGGTCGGGATGACCCCTGGGGACTAACCCTGTACATCATTCAAACCATCTTCGCATGACAAACCAGAATATATAAGGTTTAGGGGTGGGGATCTTGACCACTTACAAGATATTAGAACTTTCTTAAATGGCAGGGGGTGGGTGACCCCTGGGGACTAACCCTGTATTTCATTTGATGTGCTTTATCATGACAAACCAGAATATATATAGTTTAGAGGTGGGGATCAGGACCATTTACAAGATATTAGAACTTTCTCAAATGGCAGGGGGTGGAGATGACCACTGGGGACTAACCCTGTATATCATTCAAACCATCTTAGCATGACAAACCAGAATGTATATGGTTTAGGGGTGGGGATCTTGACCATTTACAAGATATTAGAACTTTCTTAAATGGCAGGGGGTGGGGGTGACCCCTGGGGACAAACCCTGTATTTCATTTGATGTGCTTTAACATGACAAACCAGAATATATATGATTTAGAGGTGGGGATCTCGACCATTTACAAGATATTAGAACTTTCTCAAATGGCAGGGGGTCGGGATGACCCCTGGGGACTAACCCTGTATATCATTCAAACCATCTTAGCATGACAAACCAGAATATATATATGGTTTAGGGGTGGGGATCTTGACCACTTACAAGGTATTAGAACTTTCTTTAATGGCAGGGGGTGGGGGGTGACCCCTGGGGACTAATCCTGTATTTCATTTAATGTGCTTTATCATTTAGAACATTTTCAATTAAAAAGATTGTGTCTATCACAAACGGTTTTCAATTTATAATCGTTTGAAAATTTAAAAAAATAAAATCCCATAGGGTTCTATAGTAAAACCCTCCTTTCTTTTTGCCCCTCAAAGTACCCCTTTATAAACCCCATTGCACAAACAAAACCCTGATTGCACCACTAGACATGTTAGTCTAACATATTGTGAAACCCTAAGTTAATCTGACAAGTGGTTTTGGAGAACGGGTGCGGACAAGTTCAAATTTAAAAGCGGCGGAAGAGGAAGAGGAAGAGGAAGAAAAATAATTATAATAATAATAATAAGAACTGAGCAAAAACAATAGTCTTCCCAAACTTCGTTTTGGAGACTTAGTTAAACTTGATTAATATTTTTCATGTTGATGTCTTAATAATTGAATTTATCATTATTATCTAAAATTCATTGCTCCCACGTTTGAGGAAAATAACAAGATGAATTATGAATTGTATTCTATAAATATTTGAAATCTTAAACCTTTTGTGAATTACGATATGAATAAATTTCAATAGTTTTACGACAAGTACACACAAAAAAAAACCATTTTCCCAAACTTATCTTCCTTAAATTTTACCATAGGACTGTGGTATATAAACACGGTACAAGTTCACTAGGAAGGTTTTAATACGATATTCGTGGTTAGAATAAAAAGGGATGTCCTAGCTGTCATATATCATTTAAAAGAAATGTTTGCCTTTCTTGTGTTTATACAAGACTTTTAGTACACAGGACACATGTATAAGATACATTTTTGCTTTTTTTTTAATATACTAGTACGTTGTGGTACATGCAAAGATAGTATTGAAAAAATCTGAAAACATTTGATTTTAGAAAAATAAATATTTCACCACAAAGTTGTTCACATTTTGTCTGTTGGAAAAGATCTATTTATTCTTATTTTCTTTGTTGGAAATTAAGTTCCACACACGTAGAAAATTATTTTGATCTATCTCTATTTATAAGGCGACAGTAGTGTACCGATGTTCAAATCTCGTAAATCGGTTAGAAAATCGCATGAAATCTAAAAAAAAAAAGCAAGAATGGGATCGTGGTTGACAATGATAAAAGAATTACATAGTAAATTAATAATAATCATAAATATATGTTTTTTCTTGTTTTATTTTTCATGTTAAAAAATAGTGTTAATTCAACAATAGTTTTATTTATATATAATGCTAGTAATGCTTAAAAACAGTAGAGGAAACATAGTTCTAAGTTTTGTCCGTAAAACAATCAAATAATAGATATCTTTTCTTCAGAATGACATTTATACAGTTCAAGGCAAAATACCTTATGTGTTTATTTCAGGTTAAACAATTGGATTACATAATGACGATATCATATTCGCGAGGAATTGTTTTACTGAGTTAACTGGTCAACCGTTACGAAACTATACAAACTTAATATGAAATAATACAAATGTAGTTATGTTTTAAGGTCCGTTTCTATGTATGTTGGCGTTTGTTTTTTTTGCAGTTCAGTGTTTCTATTGTTTCGTTGTTTTCCTCTTATAGTTGATGTGTTCCCTCGGTTTTGGTTTGTGACCCATATTTTTTTTCGGTTAAAAGATTTATGACTATTGAACAGGGTATACTAGTGTTGCCTTTATTTATGTAAATTTGGCATAATGTTATAACAACAATATCATAAAGATAATATACGGAGATAAAATAATTACACTTTTAAAAATAAGATATCTAGAATATTTTATTTGAAATTATCAAGATAAGATTCAAAAGAATAAAAAAGAAAAGAAGGAAAAGAAAAACTTTCCCTAATCAAATAATGAATAAAATAAAAAATAAAAAAATGAAATGATAAAATAGATACATAAAATAAATATTATATAATAATTTGAAAAGCTAAAAATTGTCTTAAAATAGAACTTCAATGGTCCGTCAGTGCATGGGCGGGGGTTAGAAATTGTTAAGTATTAAGATGATTCCTGATCGGTTTAACCATAATAAGACCATTAAAAGTATGGTAGATCTGTTGGAAAAGTTCTAGGATAGAACTGTCTAAAATTGTTCTAGTGTATAAGTGTCAGAATCTATTCTAGGGCAAAACTATCCAAAATAATTTTAGTTTAAAACTGTTCTTTGATAGAACCGCCTCTTTCTTACACTGTTCTAAAAGTGTCAGGAGAACCTAACCCGTTCGTGTCCGATTTTAAGAGGTTAATAGTGGTATCAACTATTCCTATATATATATATATGTACTTTTCGTTCATTTACAACAAATATCATATATTTTGGCACATTCAAAATCCTACAGTGGTCCATTGCGCGTTATAGTAAACTATTTTTGGATTTTGCATCTTTGAATTCGAAATAACAGCTCATTTCGCTTAAAAAAAATTGTATGGATTATTATGTTTGTACATTTCCGATATTTCAAAAGATAGTGAATCAGTTTGTCAATCCAATTGACAATGAATATTTCATATATTTTTATTTTGTTTTTAGATTTTAAACTTTATTTAGAAATAAGTTTACACAATGGTTTGATGTTACAAAAGTATCTACAGAGTTAAAGCAGCCTTTGGTTATCTTTGGAGATTGATAATGGTCTTGTTTGGTGGAGAGGTGTATATATAAATATTCGGTCTTCATTGATAGAAAGCATTATACTGTCACCGATAGGTACCAGCTGCTTAGTACCCTCTTTATTTTAGTACGATTTAAATCATACACTTTAAATTGTAATAGTTATATGACATATCTTGTAATTATGAAAACATCCCTCAGTTGAAGGGGACCCTTAACTTTATAAAAGATATAGCTTTCCTTAGGCAAGTCATGCCTTTCTTCGTCAGTTTGAATTCATCTCGAGTAACGAAATATATAATGTTTATATAACTTGGTTAGCCGTATGACCTTGGTCGCTGGACACAGTGCAAAGAAGAGTTGCCATGGGTTATCAATAGTATGGGTTCAAATTCAGCTGTGAAAAGGACAATTATATGCTACAAGTCATTTACAGATGAAACATTATTGGGTTAAATGTTAATTCTACTTAACTGTGCCAGTCTATGATGAATGTGATGTTTGGAACAAACAGAGCAGTTTAATCCATCTTTACTTTAACATTTACAAGACTTAGATATGTTACGGCTTGTTATTGTATCCCACATAATTACATAATTACTCAAATTTTTCAAATTATTTAGATAGAACAAATTGCAAGTACCTTTAACCAGACTACGTTTTACAGGATTAATATAACATTTTGGCATAAACATTCTTATTTTCAAGAGCAATGATAAAAAACCACTACCATAAACATCTTCCAACCATAGAAATGGAATTTTCCTTGTAGCATGATACATTTTTCTTACGATATCTATTGACATTATAGAACTGTGCCCAGCGCAATATGGTAGGAACGTTGGAAATGGATATTCCTCTAAAGTTATATACCATTTATTTTTACGACGACGTTGAGGTTTGTTTTGAGTAATAACTTGGCATTCCAAAATATCAGATGAACTCTTGTTGCGAATTTTCTTTGAGAGGTGAAAAATTAAATGCGGAACATTGATAATAATATCCTCGTCCATTTTGACGACAAATTTTGCATTGGAACAGAAATTATTGACCCAGAATAAACTAAAAACAAGTTTGTATGTTAAATTTCTGTATGAATCTATAAAATTTCTCTGAATAATGTCTTTGTGTCTTTCACTTTCAAGTTCAATATACCGCTGACGTTTGACATCTGACGTCTGTCCAAGCACAAAAACATATTCAATGAGTTTATTATCATAATTAGAAATAGATCCAAACGTCGAACGAATCAAATGACGTCCCTCAAAATTCGAAGTTGCTATATGAACAAACACTATTAGAAGAATGTCTTTTCCGTAACATTTAATTTCATTGTTGAGCAACAATTCATATCGATGTTGATGGATGAGAGGATCATTCAATTTATTATGAGGCGCATTCATATAAAACTTTTCAAAATTACTGGAAACATTCTGGTCTCTGATTAGTCTAGTTACGTAGGTTATATTTGACGATATTGTCTCAGTTGTAGTCCTTATATTCGAATTTTCTTCAATCTGTTCTATAAAATATGTTGGTGGTAACGATGCAATCCCATTTACCATTGACATATCATGATGATTTTCTGCCAATGTATTTTTAACTGCGCGATTGGATGTTGAACAACCATAAACGATTTGTTGACTGTAGTAATTAACTACGACCCAAGATAGAATAGTAAATGCATATATGATAAATAGTGTTTTAATCAACTTCATAGTTGATAACTCTCAATTGATGTCAGAGATATAATATGAAGTTCTCTAAGGAAGTTTTGTGCGCACAAGATTCGTCAATAACAGAAGATATGTTATGTATCATATTCGCTTAAATATATGAACTTTTGTTTTTTTATTTACTTGGTCATCTTCTATATCGTATTGGCTTTTGTGTAACAAGTCACTAATACTCAAAATTGAATGCAAGAGGGAATATACACAAAGAGGTAGGTATTTTCCTTCGGTATATGTTTCACTAAATGAGTTACCTTATGAATGTTGTGAAATCCGTCTGATCTTTCAGTGTCAAAACATGCAATAAAAGATACTTGAATAACACTGATTTTACAATTTTGAATTGTTAAATGTTATCCAGTGCTACAAGTTGGCTTTGAAAGCATTTTTTATCAAAATGCAAATTTAAATATTAGGCTACACCATCTTAATTTTGCAGATCTTAGGACTTTTATTGCAAAAAGATAAGTGAGCGAGCACAATGTGTAGAAAAATATTGAAAGAAGACAAATTCTAATGGTCGATTAAAAGTCAGCACTTTATGGCTAATTATGTTTATATTAAAATAAACATATTCATGGACTTGCTTTTAACAAATACGCAATTGCTTCTATAGGGGGGTTTAATAATAGAAAATTCTGCTTTTATATTTGGAAGAACAAACAATGAGACTATCATTCTTTGTATGAAAGGTTTTAAATGGGAACTAAAAACCGTGAGGAGTTAACCGTCCATAAATCCAATGCATTATAATTTTGTTATTTTCAACAATTGATAAAAGTATATAAAAATGATGAAGCATATTTTATATAAAGTTAAAAAAAAAGAATTTTCAGCACTACAAAAATTAATCGTACATACATTTCTAATTATAAATATAAAAAACATAGAAAATAAATATAAGGCTGATATTCTATAACCAAACCAATTCGATTTAAATATTCATTACATTAAATGTTTAAACATCTCCTGCATAAAGTGACCATTCGCATAAAAGTACATGAATTCATGGTTGGTGTATTTTACTATACTAAACTAAGATAAAAACGGTTTTTTATTGCTATTTTTCATCTTGAATATTTTTGGTCAATGGCATTCGGTTTGATGTAATTTATTCGATCCCTTTATATTTTTGTTCTATCGATGGTTTAATATATTGACTTATTTTGGTGTACATCATATATGCATTTTATATGCTTCTCTGCCAGCAATGGCTGCTGAATTAAATCGTGTATGGAAGCACTAGATTGTGTTGATATTCCAAACCGATAAATCTTCACATTTCCAACATGGATTTTTTTGGTAATTGCTTCACTTTAGTATGCTTTTAACGAGTTTCGTGTATTTTTGAATAATGCAGTTCTTTTTCATTGTCATGAATTGTTTTTCAAGAAGGAGAACTACTATTCATTAAAAAAAAACGATGCAGAATTAAAAGAGAGCGTAGAATGAGAACTCAAAATTTAACCCTTTATATCATATTAGAATAATAATGTAAACGTTGAAATACGCCATTGACAAAAACTACAAGATTTCAAAATATTCTAATATGATAAAATAAAATCAAATGCATATTATTGAACATAAGCATAAAGTAAAGTTAAACATATTCTTAGAATGTGTAGTATAACTATAATTTAGTCTTTGGATTAAAATATATTAATTGCTTTTTGTGTGTTTTTGCTATGCATGGAATGATTTTGTGTCATGGACGGATACCCCATCTCATTTGTTTTTCTATTCAGCAAGAATTAACGTCACGCTTTGAAAAGGGATGTTATAAATATATTGTTGTAAAATTAATATAGAGATGTGTAATTTTGAACCTTTGGTAGATAGTTTTGGCTATTCTGCTTAATCTTTCGTTCAATAAATTAAAAAAAACATCTACTATTTTTATTTTTTTAAACTTCTGGTTCATAAGCCGACCAAAGGAATAGGTCGTACGACTATATATAAACACGGAGGTTGCCCTGCCTGTGGACTACCGTTACTCTCGACCCTGCAACAATTGCTTTGGTTCTTGCATATTTCATATAATATGTGATGCCTCTTCACTTCCAGTTGATGAATTATGCATATGTGCTGAACGTAAACATGCCTGTCCCAAGTCATGAGCCAGCTGTAATTCAGCGGTTGTCGTTGGTTCTCGTATATGTTTTCGTATATTGAATTGTTATAACTTTAACCGCTAGTTTTCTCGTTTGAATTGTTTCACTTTTTCATGTCGTTTCGGTTGTTTTCTCATTGTTGAAGGCCGTATGGTTACCTTATTGCTTATTCTACGTACGTCTGCAGAACCCTGGTGGATAGTTGTCTCATTTTGCAATCATTTCACATCTCCTTATTTTCAAATCCTGGGTAATAGTTCGGGATAAGTCAAGTTTCATACAGTAACAAAGAATTTTGAAAAGCAGATATTGTAAATTCATTGGAAGTTACCAAGACCTTGCTGATAAATATTCCGCAACAACTTCACAAATAATACATGATGGTCTTGAAGTATAGATTCTAGGTACTGACGTTGTTTATCATCTTAATTACGTGTTATAGTCTAAAAAAGGAGATGTGGTATGATTACCAATGAGACAAATATCTACCAAGGTTCAAATGAAGTAGATGAAAGCAATTATAGAAAACCGTACGGCCTTCAACAATGAGAAAAACCAATACCGTATAGTCGGGTATAAAAGGCCAAGACATGTAAAATATGAAATAATTCGATTGAGAAAATTAACGGCCTGATTTATAACAAAACAATTTACGAAAAACAAATATGACAGCCATGAACCAACGACAACCACTGAACTACAGGCTCCTGACTTGGGACATGCACATAAAGAATGTGGCGGGGTTAATATAAATAAGAAGAAGTGGTATGAGTGTCAATGAGACAACTCTTCATCAAATTCACAATGTATAAAAAGTTAACAATTATAGGTCAAAGTACGGCCTTCAACACGAAGCCTTGGCTCACACCGAACAGCAAGCTATAAAGGACCCCAAAATGACTAGTGTAAAACAATTCAAACAGAAAAACCAACGGTCTCATCTATATAAAAAAAGAAAAATCATCTATAAACCATACCAACAAACGACAACCACTGAACAACAGGCTCCTGATTTGGGACAGGTGCATATAAATGCAGCGGGTTTAAACGTTTTAACAGGCGTCAATCATCACCCTAACCTAAGACAGTAGTGTAACAGTACAACATAATAAACACACTATAAAATATTAATTGAAATGGCTTAACTCGATCAAAAAGACATTTTAACAAAAACAAGTAAACATACACTGAACCAATAAATTTGATCTCTGACACAATATAAATACAATAATAAAACGTAGGTGCCTATACAACATAGACGTTAGGTCAGGAAGTAATAAAAAAAATGTAGGAAGAGTGTAAGAAGAATGTCAATAAGACAACTCTTATCTGGGAAAATATAGCGTTAAATAAAACAACGTACATACTAATTTTGTTGTTAGGAGTGCGGAATGCATTTTTTACAAAATTAATAAATTGTTGTTCAGACTAGTAGTACAGAAGTAAAAATTTATCGTCATACTAAAAACTTATCAAAGGTGATACATATTAAAAATAGTGAGACGAGCTATAACACAAAATAAGTAAATATTGAATTTCAGAAATGCATAACAAATTGTGTCAACAAGTCAAATTAACACGAAAGTACGATTTGAGAGTACTCGTAGTTACTGAAAGCTAGTTAAAAGCCAAAAACAATTAACAATAAAAAATCATGCATCAGAGACTAAAATCAATTAAAACACATCCCAGGGATTTAGTGTTTTAACGCCATGGACAGTCAAAGAAGACATGACTTGTGCAATGCCAAAATAAAAGTATCGACAGGCAGTAGAATCATTAGGATGTAACCTTATAATAAATATGTATCATGTTATGTATAAAGATAAAGCAATCTCTAAATAGAAAATTAATGTGGATGTGGATTTATACATCCCAAAAACCATTAGAAAAGAATACAAATTTAGTTATATTTTAATTTGTTGATGACAAAATCGATGTTATTGCCAATGTAATCAATATTCAAAGATGACAACATTAATAAGATAACCTTTAAAAATAAGTTTGTTTAAAGGGTCGATGAGTTTACACGGATTACATAGTGATTTTTGCGCTTTTAGTACAATACTACCGTAAAATTTAGGATGTGAAATGCCGTTTTTGATAAGTTTTCTACAAGAACAGCCAAATTTACTAATCAAATCTTTGTATCTATGAAAGAATTTAGTAAATGTTTTAAGTAATTTATGGTAACGAAATCCCTGACTTTATAATTTACCAGTGATGCATTGATTACGTTCGTTAAAATCAATGACATCACTACACACGCGGGCATAACGAACGAGTTTGGATAAATAAACACCGTATGATGGAGCCAAAGGAACATCGCCGTCTAAAAAAGGAAAATAAATAACAGGGAATGAAAAATCATCTCTTTTGTCGTAAATATTAGTATGAAGTTTCTTTTTAGAAATTGAAATGTCTAAATCTAGAAAAGGAAAACTTCTGCTGTTTATGTTAGATTTATTTAAAGTAAGTTCCTTTGGGTAAATTTTGGTAGTATATTTAGAGAACTCTGGATTATTTAACGAAAACATATCATCAAGATAACGGAAGGTATTGTTGAATGTGTCAAACAAATGTAACAATGACGTGTCTTTACTGAGTCTGGCCATAAACTGTGATTCATAGCAATACAGGAATAAATCTGCCATTAAAGGGGCGCAATAAGTGCCCATAGAAAACCTACTAGCTGTTGATACACTTTATCGCCGAAACATACATATATGTTGTCCAGGAGGAAATTTAAAGCTTCAATCATATCTTCACATTTCCAGTAAGTGTATCTAGCATACTTTCCTTTTTCATTACTAAAAAAGGCTTTAAACGAGTTACAGCAAATACATTTGTAATGAGATTTGAAAATGACCATTTAGTTAAATATGAAAAAAGATTGTGCGGAAGTGTAGTGTAACGAGTAGAAAAATCATAACTGTCAACAGAATTAAAAGAACCACCAAAACCACGTATTTTATCTAAAACCTCTAAAGAACTTTTAACACTTCAAAAATAATTTATACCATTATGTTCAAAACTTTATTAAAAAAAGTTAATAATGAGTTCTTTGATAGTAGTAAGTAAGGTAGTTAGAAGCACTGACAGATTAGTAGAAGAACACTTACCAGATGCGGAGATGAAACGAAATTCAAATGGTTGTTTGTGTAATTTAGGTAACCAGTACACAGTCGGGACTTTCAAATGTTTGGAAGAGGCTTTAAGCTGGTTAGTGGCAGTGATATGCTTGTTTACAATTTGACTCTCTGTGGAGCGTACGGACATGAATGTAGAAGAATTGGTAATTTGGTTTTTGGAGAACTTCCGTGTTGTATATGCGTCAAATCACCACTACATTATTGGCTGCTTTGTCTGTCGGTTAAACATGTTTGTTAGCGCTCAACCCCCTTACCTGGGACAGTTGTGTAACAGCAAAACATAAGAACAATCTATAAAAATCAGTAGAAAAAGGCTTAACTCATCAGATCGATACAAAGAAAAACGTCAAACAAAAACACATACAGGATGTGTTTCTTTTATTTGTCGTTGTACATTTTTAACCTTTACTGTTTAGTCTTTTTTTTTGTAATATACTTTTAGCGTGGCTCGGTACTTATATATCCTGCAATTATGTTATTGTACTATGGTCAGTTTTGTATTCTTGACTTTCATTTTTGCTTATGTACTTTGTGCTATATATTGTTTTCGTCAAGATGCCAGCCATCAAACGTCACAAAACATTAAATGACATCTTCAGGTTAACTAACGGTCTCAAACAAAATAACAAATACGTGTATGTACCATACGTCAACAGAAACAACAATGTATCTGCCATTAATATAAATTATTCAATGTCAAAGAGTCTTTGCTTAGTTATTTTGCCAGCGGTCGTCATTTTTGTCATTAGCGGAACGATTTTCAGAATGACGAAAGTTTTCCGGATTGCTAAAATTTAAAAAAAGTAAAACAAGTTGCTTTCTTTAAAAAAAAGAAACGCAATACGTGAACACGAGACCGTTGAATGGTCACCAAAATTTTATTAGTGATTTTTTGGGCTTTTGATTTGAAATAATTGATTGTCAATAAATTAATGATGTGTTAACACACTTTCATTTAACCTATATGTAATTGTGTGTAGATTCTTGAAAAAATTGATTATTTTATTTTTAACTTGGGAGTGTACATCATTTTTTCTTCTCGGTTAATTATTTATTAAGTCCTAGGCTCATTGCAATTTCCAGTTTCGGCAAAGCGGATGTCTAAAGTAAATTCAACAGACCAATCACAATATAAATCTCAGCACGCAATTTGCTATTTACTCTTACTTGTTTTTAATATGTTAATATCAACGATTTCGTTTGAAGTAAATCAATGCATACAATTTTTATATTCGAACCATGTTGCAAAGATTTTAATGCTATGAGGTTAAATTGTTAAAAACAAAAAAGGGTTGAATTCAATTAACATATAACATTTACGAAAATTCAAAATATACCATCAATAAACACAAATGTCAAGTATTTATTCCATTTTTTTAATATATTCAAATACAAAATACCAGAAGAGACTAATAAAACCATACTGAAACGGTATTCATTAATTAACGAAGTGTTTAAACGAGTATTGTTAAACACTAATTACGTTTTTTTTGTGAGATACAAGGATATAAAATCCTTGTGTCTTGAAACAATGCAACTATCTTTTTCATTCACTGCCGTTTAGAATTTAAATACTAATTCATGTATATGCATCTCTGAAAATTGATGCTCATAAGTTTCATAAATGTATTCACTGTTAAAATCTGTAGGACATAATCTATAATTATTCATTATATTTCATTATGATAAATCTAGTTTCAGTTAAAACTTAATAGTTTTGATGAATATTCCCTTGGATTTTACTTTTACTTCGATTAGTATCTGTTAATGAAATTAAATATTTTTGAGCGAGACATGGTTTTGTTAATCATCTTCTTGATTTCCGACCTCACGCTATGATGAACATACACAATTACACGCGGTAAACGTTCATAAATAATCAGTTAATTGTGACAATCCACACTAGCACTCGTACTACGTACGCATTCAGGGAACGTCTAAAACATATCTAATAACATTATCATTATACACAAAAAACTGTCATTCAAATCAAAACGCCTATGTTCTGTCAAAAGCCGAATATGGTTGGAATTTATTTATAGTTTTGTTTTGCTGTAGTCTACTTTTCTATCTTGAAATGAAGTTTGATTGAATATGCAATGTCACGTAGTAGCCTGGCATGGAGGGACCGTATCAAAGACATAGATAACTACCTGTATAAATGATCGAAAATTTTCGAGACGTTTCGGGAAACTTGTTTCCGAGCATATCTGAATGGCCAAGAGAAGCTGCCGAAACTCACCAATATATAGGCATGAATTCCTCAGCAGCTCAGGGGGTTGACGAAAACAAAAATCGCACGAAAATTAAAAATTTTACCTGGCTACATATGTATGACAAGTCTACGACCCATGCTAAGCAACGACCACGATTCATTTTGATAGGTTGGCGTGACTTATTTTACTATGAACAATTAAGTGTGAATCATTTAGCTTTGGATTCATATCATTATCAGATATGTATTTATTTTTTGTAAATGCAAATTGAACAAGTGAATAACTTGTTTCGTTAACGCAGGTAACAATAGAACACGAATAAAAAATTATACTTTTTAAATGTAAATGGTTTTATGACAAACCCATAACAGTATTAAGTTGTCGTACGATGGCTTTATATGACATCAAATTTGCTTTATAAATCATTAAATGTATAATTGATTAAAAGAACGAGTTTCTTTTTACGAACAATAAAATAGATTATAACTTTGAATTCAATATTTTCATATTATCTTGCAAGCTGAATTCAGAGGCCCCTAAAGAACAGAAAAATATGATTTTTATAAAATATATATTCAGGTAAAATATTCATTTTTACATATGTATAGTTGATCATTTTTTTTGTTGTAAACAGGTTGAGTCTACCTATTATAGTTCAAAGCCAGTTTCATAACACACGTTAAAATATCAAAATCCTTGGTAAATTCAAAAAGGGGAAGTCCACAAAACCTTACAAAAAAAAAACAACTGTCATATATATGATATGAAATGAATAATGTTTATCTGTACACATTCAACGGATTTAGTGTAAAGACATCTTAACCAGTAAGAGAACAGCATGGCCTTGAGCAATATCAAAATATCATTATGGACAGGATGAAATTTTATTTGATCTTTAAAATAGCTAAGATGGTAAACACTAAATCCTTCGAATCGTGGATGGTTAGTATGTTAGTATTCAGAAATGTTTTAGATTATTTAATTGTAATCCAAATTTACACTTTCTTACTAACATTTACACAAATGTTGTTGTGTATATTTTTCTATAGTTTTCCACATAGAATATGAATTACTTGTATTCTTTGAATTATTTATGTAAAACAAATGGCATGGTTTGTCATTAAGACTAGCTCGCAAATCTTTTATGTAACATTTCGGATGAACTATTTCTGTATCTGAAATCCAGGGTAAAAATCCACCACCGTAGACATCTTCAAGCCAACAAAAAGGCACAATTTTTGTCGCTTCATACATTTCACTTATAACGTCAGTGGACATAATTGAGGAAGGCCCTGCACAATAAGGAGGAAACGTCGCAAAGGGGTAATCCAACGAAGACATATGCCATTTATCACGCGGATTACGATATGGCAAAGCTCCTATAAGAAGAAAACATTCTAAAACCTTGGTTTTGTTTAGTTTATTGCTAAGATAAGGAATTAGAAATGGAATGTTGATGGTGATATCATCGTCAATTTTAATGACATAAGTCACATTGTTGCAAAATCTATTCACCCAGAACAAGCTAAATACTCGTTTATATGTTAAATTTCTGTAGCTGTCTATAAAATTTCCTTGAATAAGGTCTCTGTATTTGACACTTTCCTCTTCAATGTCCATCTGCTGAGTATCATTCACGGTTTCCCCAAGCACAAAAACATATTCAATATGTGTATTGTCAAATTCTTCAATAGATCCAAATGTATTCCTTATAACCTGACGTTCGTCGAATTTGTATATAGCTGAATAAATAAGAACAAGCAAGAATATATGATTTTCTTTACACTTTGAATCGGAATCAAGTAACAAACTATATTGATGTTTGTGAATGAGAGGGTCCATCAGTTTATCGGTTGATACGTTCTGATAAAAATGTTCAAACTCCGTTGATATATCTCGTCCATTGTATGTTCTGATCACCCGGCTGGGTGAAATATTGGTGCGCAGTCTTGACTGATTTCTTGAATAATTAATTAAAATCCATAATAGTATGACAAAGGGAATTTTCCACCGTATTGTTTTCCACAATTTCATAACTAAAATTAGTGTTTTATGTGGAGTCATTAACTTAATTTAGTGAAAATGGAGTCATTTTACGTGTAAACAATTGGTGATATTGTATCCACATTACGCCCCAGCACAAATGAAACTTGTTCCTGTTACATTAGAATTGAAAAATATTTTTAAATATACCTGTTTAAGTATTTCCTGTATTCAGTCATATTTTAACTCGTATTCATATCGGTTTTATTACATAATACTAATTTTTAAAATAGCCAATGAAAGTATTGCTTAATTAGGCTACCCTACTTAACAAATACTTTGATTGAATATTGAACAACAATCTTAAGTAATAAGCCAGCATAAGGCAACTGTTTTGGCCGTTTCAAAAGTCACAATTATTGTATTATAAATCAACTAAATAACATCCTACAGATATTCATGAGACATAAGTCTGACACCAGTAATGATATTCTTGAATTTTGTCTTGCATATGGCATTAGGAATTAGGAATTTAAAGTTCTTACAGTTAGTGCAAAACAGCTTAAACTCCCAAAATAGCCTCATATTGAGATATTGTCTTTAATATAAAAATATGATTCACAGCTTTATCAAAATAGATAATTAACTGGGGAAAGTATTTTCCACAGATGGTAATGTATGTTAATATTGTTTTGTGTTAGCTTTTGCTCATATATACTATGACCAAACATTATGCGTGAAATGGGCACTTTATGTCAAATACGTAAATTTGTACATGATAAAATGTCATTGTGATATCACAAATGACTTTAAGAACTAAAGTGTCCAGATTTAATTAGCCTATAATTTTTTATCAATAAAATTAATATAATTTTGAAAGGCTTGATTACATTTACTATTTTCGCAATTTCAGGATCCAAATAATGGTTTTTAGCATATACCTCTTCCCTAAGTTTAAATAGCATTAGAACATAAATAGAAGTGGCTTGTGTGTCTAATATAGCAAGGTACGTTTATGTTTTAAATTGACTATAATCCATTACTGTATTGTAGGCTTAAATAGTTTCCCTGTGCTGGATATGCATGTTCTTATATTTTTAGTTTTTAGGAAAACATTTTTTTTTTGTGGGTTAATTCATTTTCACGCTATTCTCTACTAGAATCTTTTAATAACATCAACGGTACCAATGTTACTACACGTGATGCACATTTTGACCAAAAATGTTATTGATGCCAATAGAAAGACCCAATTGCTGTCGCTCATACATATCTCTTATAACGTCGATTCACATAACAGAGGGAGGTTCCTCACAATAAGGTTCTACTTAATCACAAATACATATTGAATGAAAATAACACTATATAGATGTTGTGCACCCGAAGCGTTTTTCTGGATTTATATTTTCCTGGAACGTTCACACCCAAATATCAGAAGGCAAAGGATGTATAAATACTTGAATACTTGAGCGCTATTTGCTCAAAAGGGACTTAAAAAGAAAAGACAAATCCATCTAAGGTCAGACTTTCTTGAGGTAGTATCTCTTTACGGACAAATGTCAAATGTATTCCTAAATATCTGAGATCCGCCAAATCTATATGTAATGAATCAAATAGAATAGGAATATATTATGTTCTTAGTATATTGTGCAAGTCAGAAGTAGCGTTAAAAAGAGGATCTGTTAGATTTTCTGTTCATATCTTAAAGCTCTAGATAAAATGAAAAATGTTCGTGACCAAATAGACGGGCTATTCAATCTAAACATTAAATAATATTTCAATTCAGGATATTCTTACTGATATCTTTAAAATTGTTTGTGTACTTTCTATACTCACTTCCTTAAACTGGTATTTAATGAAACATATAGTTTTACGTTCAGCACATTACATAGTTGGTATAATAGTCTCTATTCAATGTAATCAAGATGATCTTGTGTAATTTCATAGCCCAGTATTTATATGTAAATGTATAAATGCACAAAAACAAGGTACTACGCAGAAAACGATTTGTTTGTGCAGCTGTGAATATTTTGGTGGATATGAAATTAAATGAAAAGCAAAGTTTAAGATTTACATATTTACTTTTCATATGTTTTTCTTTACACCGGTGGACCATACTCTAATTTAATCGAATACAAGGACACAGAAAATTAAAGTATCGTGTATTTTCCTGGTCAATATCATATGAGCAAAAGTAGCCGAGACTTGAAAATATTTATTGTGACATATTGTTTATAAACTCATTATATATATCAGGATTAAAATTGTGTACGCCAGACGCGTGTTCGTCTACAAAAGACTTATTAGTGACGCTCGAATCAAAGAAGTTAATAAATGCAAAATAAAGTACAAAAGTTTAAGAGCTATATATACTAGCAAAATTTATTTAGTCATCAGCTCTTAATATGTTAAATAGCAATACATATATAGCGTGGAAAAGTGAAAAACATGATTTAAAAGTCCTCAATGAAATGCATATGGTAATAAATGAGACTTTAAACCGTAGACTGTTGTGGCTGTTCGGTTATTAAACTGGTAATTTTGTTTGAATTTCCAATCTTTTAGTCACTAGTCTTTCTTGAGTGTTAATCCAGAAACAGGTGTTGAAGGAACAGAAATGGGTTGTGCAAATATTTCCTACTACAATATACCTCGTCGATACTGCTGCATGTTCATCTTCTTTCCCAAGGGTACCTTCCACCATTTAGCAGTTTCTTTATTTCTGGCATGATTTAACTGATATATTTTGTCTGTAAAATTCTAGTTCATAAATTATGTAAATCAGCGGAAATTAAGGTTGCAGTTTCAATATTCAAAGTTTGGGATAAGTCAGACTTCATACTGTGACATAATATAGAAACTTTCTATGGAGAACGAGGTGGAATTTATGAGTTTGAATGTCCCTTCGGTATCTACCGCCTCTCTTTTGATGCAGTGTGTAGATACCAATTCGGATAAATTTTGTCTGCCAGCAAAAATATTTATTGGAAAAAGCCTATAAATTTGTCTTATTAGTCGATCTATTAGTAGTATTAGCATTAACTGGTGGCACAAACACTTGTCGCTGAAATTTCCTCTCTCCCATACATACCTTAATATATTAAGGTGTATTGGAAAACACAAAATTTCTGAGTGCTTGTGACTGTCGGGCGTCGGTCTGGTGTCCAGGAAAACCAGATTGTATAAGGTTTAAAAAGAAAAAGAAAAGAAAAATTGCCGAAAAACGAGATGAGGTAGTCGCTAATCGTTCCTATGACGATAGGGAAGATTACGACGCAGCAGCAGACGACGACTCTGCCAAACAACCTCCGCCATCAGAGGTTAATTATAACCCCCTAAACCACCGCCTGATGTAGAGGAGGCCGCAAACGTAGATGTCACTGCAGTGGTGCAAACGCTGCCAAAAACATAGAAACGAAAGTATGATTCGACAAATTAGAAAAAAAAAAGAAACAGCAAATCACAAATTCGTCACTGTAAAAATTTCAAAACTAATGAGAGCACATGCAATTGATGTTTCTAGCTCAGATTCCGAATAAAAAATTACATAAAACCAATTTATATTTTTTGTCAGTGTTTAGGTATGGGTGTCGGTATAAGTGTCCGTGTACATGTAGACGACCTTTCGAAAACGCCTAATATTCACAGTTTGCCAAAGCACAAAGACATAATCATAATGCTTATCGTCAAATTTTGAAATAACTCCAAATGTATTCCATATAACTTACTGTTCGTTGGATTTGTAAGTAGCTGAATAAACAAGAACTATCAAGAAAACGTGTTTTTTCTTTACATTTCATACTGGTTTTAAGTAACAAAGTATATATCAATATATCGATGTTCGTGAATGAGACGGGCCATCCGTTTATTGGTTGATACTTTCAGATAAAAAAAAAGTCGAGATAACTGTTATCTATTGTATAACTGTTCAGTTTTTCAAACTTTTATATTGATATAGTTCTTTATTCCTCAAATACAAAACGTACATTCAGGGGATGTTACTCTTTTTCGTCTTTTGATACATAAACGTTTGTCTGCTTTAAATTTAAAAATATCCTTATATCGTTGTATATATATTTCAAAGTCCAAACGTTGTTAAGGCTTTATGCTGTGATAACCAATGTTTGCATGTTATAATTGTCTTGCGTACTATGTCAATGAAACACTTCGACTGTTCTTTTCACTTATTAACAACTAATGAATCATCAACTGGAATAATTTATATCGATTTGCATAAAAATTAATCTATTTTATAGACACGGAGTGGTACACGTAATGGTGTCAATGATATAAAACACAAATACAAAGAGTGTTGTTTAATATGAAAGTAAGGAGATGTGGTATGATTGCCAATGAGACAATTATCCATCAAAAATTCATATGACGTGTATGTAAGCAATTATAGGCAACTGCACGGCCTTCAACAATGAGAAAAACACAAACGTATAGTCAGCTATAAAAGGCCCCGACATAAAATATATGAAACAATTGCAAAAGAAATGATACTTTTCCACATATTCACTTGAAAGTTACCTGTCGATTTAAACTTTTGTAAGTTCTTTTGTCCAATCTAATAAATACAATAGCTATTGTTCTCTGTGGAGTTTATTCAATTGGACCTTTAAATTTCTTCACTCACTGATTAATTTACCTGAATAAAATATTTAACTTTTAATGACGATAATACATGTACCATTACTAAAAAAAGGACACTCAAAACTGCATGTGATGTGGTATTTTTTCAATATCAATCAGGGAACGACCATTTAACTTCAAAACAGGGGGGGGGTATGGTTTTTTCTCCCTTTGAAGTTAAATGGTTGCTCCCTAATACATTTTCAAAGTTGATTTCTGATAAAATTTTCAATATTTTATCTATTGAAATTTCTTCTTTGTGTGTTTGACAAATAAAAACTTGAAAATGATGATTATAAATTATGGCCTTCATAAATGTATTCTATAACTGAACACCACAAAAACATGCAAATTCAATTGGAACAATACTAAATATTTTGTCAGAAATAATCTTTTTATAATTAAATCAGTGTTTAATATTGAACAGATTGAAAATATATTATTGAATAAATACAACATCACATGCAGTTTTTTGAGTTTATACATGTATTTCAATCAACTAAGAAGATAATTTTTTGGTCAGGTAAATTAATCAATGAATGATAGATTTCTCCTAGAAGAAATTTAAAGGTCCCAGTGAATAAACTACACACAGAATAATAGCTTTTATATTTA